ACCCAGGCCTGGGGTTTGGGAGGTTTTCCATGCAATGAAAAGTAGGAAGTGGAAGACCTTGGAACTTTGCTGACATCTGTCTGCATCTATTATAACAATGTCTCAATGTCCTATTAGCCAACAGAAGGATGGGATTGAATGTCCTTGGAATCGGCCATCCGCAGAATGCCCAGGCCAAACGATGGATCCAAAGCCAAACATGGTACCCAAACGATGTCCACCAGGGGTCCATCGTTGGATCTATCCGGTTCACAGAACTCCTGGCCGTCCGAGTAAGCAATACCCGTGTCGAAGTTCAGGAGAAGATCTCCGGGCTTTTGGATGCGGAACTGAAGCGGAAGGCCTGTGGGCTGCCTGCATGGTGTTGGAAAGCGGTGCTTTTTGTGAAAGCAAGCGCATCAACAACCCATGTTCATGAAAAAGATCCGCTTTAAACATGTTTAACCACCAAAATACCTAGTGCATCGACATGCGACTTTGTCCCCCAAGAGCAGCTGATCCTCGTCGCCCTTTCTTTCAGGATGTCCAGCAATGTCCAGTACACAACCCGTTCTCCACGAAAACCACCATTTCCGTTTTGCTCAGGTTGTTTGAATTTCGCTTTGGGCAATTCCCATTTCCGGGGATTTAGACATACCGGATTCTGTGCCCAAAGCCGCCCTTTTCCAGTAAACTCAGTATCAGACTCAGAACTCTAAGCCATCGGACCACGCCCTGAACAGGTACTCTTAGATGCGGAGCTCGTGGCTCCTCCAGAGGCCCTTGGAACGAACAGCCACCGACATCCGAACGGTGACGCGAGTTTATGGCTGCAGAGTCGCAGGCATCAGGTCGTCCACGACTGGTTTCGACGTAACACCGGAGAGTGGACGAAATGTGAGAGAGGCCCCTACAACCACTGAGTATGTTGCACAAGTTCTACCGTCTCACGAAGGTGACGTGTGCATATTTTTGGTGTTCAAGTCTCTTCATCCGTAGTACTCTTTGTTATCATCTTCTGTGGTACAAAAGCGATACTGAAGACTGTAAGTTGAATGTGGAAAATGAAAACTTTCATCACTTATGGAAGAAGTCTCACACGCAACCATCATTTTAGTTTCACCACGCTCTTTCCATGTGTTTTCCCCTTTTCTTCCAGTGCCTTTTTCACTTTCGCATGGCCCTGCCAGCAAAAATCAATGTTCGGTAAGTGTCGTTGAACAAGAAAGATACGGTTTCTCTTTTGTGGATAAAAAGTGAGTCACATCGCAAAATTACTGGCAGGCGCACGCAAACTTCGAATAGGCACTGGAAAAGGCATTGGGAAAGTACATGTCAACGTAACAGAACAGTAGTCGCCGTCCACACCCAGTACCGTAGATGGACAAAATATTCAAATCCTTCAAACCCTTCAAAGCGCTTGGAGCCCTTCTACCCCAAAACTCAAAGTTAGTGAGCCTGCCAGAGTGCTTCGGCGAATGGACGAAACAAACCAAACCCTGGCAACACAAATTCAATGAAGTCGTGTTCAACATGGACCCTTGGGGGTCGGGGGTTGGTGACAGTCATCAACTGAGGGGTTTGAAGATTTGGTCCGTCTACTGTAGTTCCAATGGAACTTGATGCCGGCATTGCAAACATCGTATCGGACACGTTTTCTTTCCATTGATTTCTAAAATCGAGGGGCTTTTCTTCTTGTCTTAGAGTCCGAATCAGTCAGAAAAGTGTCATAGTCAGAAGGGTGAACCGGTCAAGGTTCAGCTAAAACTGTTGGGATCGCCATCCGTCGCCTCCCTTTCCGCACGCGTTCGGCCTGTGCCTCAGGCCAAGCGAGCCCTGGCGTCGCTCCGCCGGGGGCCCCGCTCCATCCGGTGGAATCCGTGTGGAGGATGTTGGTTCAGACACACGAGGATGTTGGGTGCGATGTTTGCTGAACTGTTGGATATTTTATTATATGTTTGGTTAAGTTGGCTTGGTTCAAATTTATGCCTTGCCCCGAACATTCTTGAGTCTTTTGGCCTGCACCTTTTCCATCAGATCACCGGTTTCGCGATTGGTCATGCCCCTCTGTGGCTCCCCAAAGCTCTTGATTGTGTGCTGGCATTGGTGCATGGTGCATGGTGGGTGCAAAAATTCTCAAGCTCCACAAAGCTCTTGAATTTGATGTTCTGGTGGCTCACAAAGCTCATATGAACACAATTCTCAACCATGATGTTCTCACTGTTTCATATGAGGATTTGACAACATCTATGGTGCTTTTTGGTCGGCCCCCTGGCTCCGACATCGCCTGAAGAAGGGCAAGGGGGGCCGAATGATCATCACCCATAGATTCGTTTCTATGATGTAACCATGGATTTTGTCCATTGCTCATCTATCCCCTTCAAGAAACCATAGGTTGCTACTTTTTCCTATTCCTTCCTCTCCCAGCGACTCTTGACACACACACACACACACACACCACCTTACTAAGAGCTCTGTCGAAGCGGTTCCCAAAGTGGTCGACCGTCTCTCCGCGTGCGTCCAACAGATGGTCCGATTCCTCGTTTCCGGTGTACTCGCTTCCGTGTTTGAGTACTCCCAGTCTGCAGTAGACGTGCTGGACTGCCAAGGATCAACTCAGCAGGGAAGTGACCATTCCAACCACACACCAACCAGTGTATGATTGCTGAACCAAGCACAAACTGCAGTGATAGCTGCAGTTCAGATCATCATCACATGTGATCATCCCTCAACTTGGTGTTCACCACTTGTTCTATATACTACGTCTAGGGCAAACACATGCAAGAAATCCTCCAAGACATCCGATGATCTCCGGGCCCGCACCGCGGCCCCAACCGCGGCCCACGACCGTTCGCCCGAGGAACCTCTTCAGACCGTTCGCCCGAGCGGCGGACGCCCCGCACGGCGCGGATGCTGACGTGAAGGGCAATGCCTCGAGGGGGGCGGAGGAAGGCCGAGGGGTTCGTGGGTCAAAGGTGGGCAAGATCAGATTCAGATCTATCTATCTATCTCTCTCTCTCTCTATAAATATATATATATATAACCCCCCAAAAAAAGGATAGAAGCACTCTTCACTGCAATGAGATACATATATTTTGCACAGATTTGGTCGCCACTGAACTGGGGGTAACGTGAGATGGAAACCTCGGAGCCCGAAGCCGATTCCTCGAGCGTAGAACTCTCTCAGTGATGTGCGGAGATGTGCACTGTGACGTCTCACCAAGAAGGGCCAGGGGGTACAAAAGAAATGGACCACAACCATCCACAAGCCATGTGACTGTGACTCAAGCGCAGTACCCCATCAAAGCATGGTTTCGATTGACATGACCCGAGGGGCCAGATCCCCAGGGTGCCCGGGTGCCATGACCCACTGTCAAGGGTCACAATGGTTATCATACGTGATCACCACGGGCGCCCTCATGTTTTATGCCAGAGCTCCAAACACCAGGGGTCCATGGCAGCAATGGCAGCGTGGCACCAGTAGAGTCGCACCTTCAAGCTCTCGCTGAAGCAGCTTGGTCAGTTGTTGTCAGCACAGCTCAATTGAATTAGTTCTATTGTTAACTATAGCGTAGTAATGACAGGAGCTACGTTCGTAGCGTCCTTGCTCCGTTCGTAGCGATGCGCCTTGTTATTAGTAGCTTCAAAGACATACTAGTAGCTTCTTGTTACTAGTAGCTATCTTGCTCCGTTCGTAGTAAGGCCAGGAGCCCCGTTCGTAGCGTCGGATCGCTCCGTTCGAGTCGCGATGCTAGGAGCCCCTAGTCCGTAGCTTCAAAGACATACAGGTCTTGTAGGTCGATCCGATAGGTCGATCCATTTCAGCGACTTCTCGCGGGCTCCCAAAGACTCGGAGCCGCTTGAGCTCCGGCTCGGCCTTTCGCGCGCTTTCGGGCGCTTGGACAACGGGCGTGGATGGGTGGGCCGAGGGTTTGCATGAGGCGACGTTCGGGAGCCTTCCAAAGGAAGAGCTTTTCGAAGTGAAACATCGCAAAAAGCGTGGTGGGTAGGGTTCGATGGTACACAGAGGGGAGTACTCGGTCAGTATGACACCCCACGCTCTGCGGGTGCGAGAGGTCGTACCTTGGACTCCGTGGTTCCTGTTTGGCACTGAGGTTTCCCAAGTGATTCCTGTTCCAACACGATGTTTCCTCCGATTGCTCCTACATGCTCCTATAATGATGGCATTTCTTGAGGCATCAGTGATCATCAGTGACATCCTACTTCACTCGCCAATTGCTTCGCCCTGCCTGTGGTCGAAACATACAGCGGATGTTTGGGCAACTTCGTCTCCCTGTGTGCTGCTTGATTGCGGCGCGAACGATGTGAAGATCACTCACGATCTCTCACTGGAGTGATGCCTGAACTGGAGGGCGGGGCACCGCAAGACTGACGCCTGGGCATTCCGACCCCCTGCAAAGGACAGACCAAACGACATGTTGGTTGGGGGTCTCCCGAAAAGAATTCATACCCAATGCAGAACAGCAGCTGTTGGTTGCGGCAACATTGCCACGGCCATGAAGATGATATATGCTTGCAGGTCTAACGGTGTAACAGGGCAGCCCTTGACCGCCTTGACCTGAGTCAATATCAAAAAAGTGTTCTTGGCATTGCTCTCTTGAGCAATGCCTTGGCACCCCGATGAGGCCTCCCTCGGGGCCGACAATACCCCTTACGTCGTTGTCTCAGAAAGGGACCCAAACGGACGAGGCCCCAATTCATCCGGCTCTTTGGCCCAGATCAGACGGAGTGGGTAACACAGCGATTGGTGACACAAGCACCAGAGTCACAAGACATGCAAAGCAAGCACTGCCCCACATCCAGTCAACATGCAAGACAGACAGCTAGAAAGAAACACATTTGTCCCAAGATTGTCTCAAAGAAACAGTTCAGCGAAATCGATGATGAGAACTCCTCCGTCCTGCTACGAAGATATTCTCGGATTTCTCCCTCAATGTAAAATCTTTAGAAGACCACACCATGTGTTGTGGGGAAGGTTGACACTGAAACACCCACTGAAGAAAACCATTTTGGATGTTCTGCTGCCACATTCCATGCAGAAGATTGAAGACCTGAAAGCCGAGTTGGCCCAGCAGGTGTGGGTGGGGGCAAAACGGGCAAGTTGTGGAGGAGTAGAATTTTTAGGGAAAGGCAACCAAACAATCAAATAGATCGATTTACAGTAGCTTCCGATGCCTGTTCAGAAAGGATGTATTTCTTCGAATCCTTTCTTCGTATTTGGTCACTCCGAGGTGAGTTGATAGATGTTCAGTATCGGATTCTTGCAGCTTTTCCCTGCTGTTGTCATCCAACGGTGGGTTCAATCGGTATGTTCCAGACTCCCCAGACCTTCAACGATCTATGCCAGGCGAACGAGCCTACAGTGGAAACGTCAAGAGCCCTGAAAAACTGTTGGTTGTAACTTGAACAGGCACTTCTTCTGCCACTGCCCAGGAAGAAAGACATGCCAACGAAGTGAAGAGGCGGCGGAGTCGGCCAATCGTTTTTGGCACAAACAGCTGTGTGGGACTCACACTTGGCAAGTGAAGTTAACCATGAATATACAGAATAAGTTACTGTAAACATGACCTTCCCGAGAGCCAGGTTGTTCAACAACATCCCGTATTCTTTTCGGAAATCCCTCACTGAAGTGCCCTTCATCATGGATCATCTACTCATTCTACTTTACCAAGCGTTGCGTATACCTTGTGAGTATGTAATGCCAACGCAACAGAGACGGGTATGGTCGTGAAGCGACCCTGTCCTAGCTGCATGCACCGTGCCTCTGGTATCTTGTGGTCTCTACGTACTGCAGGAAGACTTGCCAACAGTCTGGTCCTGGCTCCAATGTAGAAGACACTTCCAACCTCCTTGAAGAACATGGGCCACGTGGCTCGCCACTTTTTCCCTGCTGAACCCCACTGCCCCCTTAAGAAAGCTGTGTACCACTAAGATTTGACGGACCTTCATTCTGGTAGCAGGTTTGGGGGAACAGGTTCTGCGTGGATTCTGCGCACAGGATCCAAGATGAGATCGATGAGCTCCGCAGGCGATGGATCGACGTGTGGATCGACGTGTGGGTCGCAGATGGTCGAAGGTTCGACTCACTCGCCCGACTTGTTCTGCTTCGACTCGACTCTGCATGTTTCGTTACCTTTGTTATCCTTTGTTATCCTTAGTTTTCTAGTTTTCTCAATCCATTCTCTTCGTTGTGCTGGTGACATTTTCAAATATTCAAAAGACATTGAAACAGACGATTGGCCGGCTGACACGACTGGCTGCGTCGGAGTGGCCACAAGGTCGGAGTGGCCGCAGAGAACAGCAGGGTCCATACACTTGGTCTGGCCATCAGTGATAAGGCCAAAAGTGACTGGGAACCAGCACTTGGAACATGCTGGGTACATCAGGTATGGTATATAACCATCCAAGTTTTTTGTTTTTTTATAACTTTGGATGCCAGAACTTTCCATATTATTGTGTGAACATTTGTGCGCAGAGAATCATAGATATCCGATAAATTCCGAAAATGGATTTCAATTCCCGGCACGATGCAGGATCTCTTCGGGTCTTTTCCACACTTTCTTAACTACTACACCCCCTTGTTCACCCCTATTGATAGATCAATTCTACTACAGCCTTGAGTGCCCCTTTGCAATCTCCACCAAAACCGCCCTAGCCGCTAGGCGTGTGCGAGAGGTGGAGGAGACGGAGCCGCGGTGTGCGGAGCACCCGATCGCTCCGAGGAACAGGGATTGGGAGAAGAGAGTGATCCACCATGATCCACCCAAGGGATTTTCCCCAGGTGAATCGGAGGAGAAACCTTTTGTTTTTTTCTTTTTCGGTGGTGAACCTCCCAGAGTTTGGCAAATCCAGTTCAAGACATGGTGTTCAAGAGTTCATTCAAGACTGCCTGAATTGACTCAACAAAGGGGACATGGGAACCACTTGTTCTATCATGTTCCATTTTTTTGAATATTCTTGGGGCTGGCTGGGGTGTACGGGACGTCATTGTTGATTGGATCTGACCTCTTTTTGGGACAGCCTTGGGCCTTGCCATGCCTCCTTAAAAAGTGTTCCGAAACGGCACTCCGAAGGTTGGGTACAGGAGTTCTGCGGTTCATCACACAACTCCTGGCATCAGATCTCCGGTTCGGAAGACACCAGATCCATGGATGGGACCGTAGTGGTTGGAACTTCGTACCGTGGGTCGACTGAAAGCGGGACGACCGGGTGTCTACGGTACAGTAGGGTTTTTCCTTTTTAATGGCGAAGGGAAAGCACCAACAGCCTCCACCTCGCTCAGCTCCAAGGCCGTTTTTAACTTCTGGTTTTGGTTTCCAAGGAGGCCCTGTGGGAATTAGAAGCTTAGGAACCAAATCGTCAATCCATGGTCCAGGTAGGTTCACCTTGAAATATCCTGGTCCGGCAGAGCTGAGGTATTGGATTCAACGACAGCACCGATGCTTGGATTGAGCCAGGGGGTCGGGGTGCTTCCGGCCGGAGTCGGAACGAGAACAGCCCGAGATGGGTTGAATGCGACCGGATCGCCCGGGAGGTTCTCTCCCAAAGAGAGTGAACCCGGATCTCTGTGAACCCGATGCGACCCGATGAGTTTGGCGAGAAGCAGTTTGGATTCGCACTTCAGTTCTTTCATCGTCACCGTTTTAGGCGACCCTCAAACCAGCTACGAGGGTCCGCCTTTGGGCAGAAACAACGATATTCTTCTTCATGAAAGGAGACACATATACAAACATAGGGTGCCACAATATTGACGCCTTTGAGACGGATGCTTTGTGCTCAGTGTTACCAAAGTTCTTACATCAGCCCCCTTGAAGCTGTTATCTTTTGTTTTGAGCTGAACACCAACACCACCACCACATGATTTGAAGAGAAGCCCCGCGCTGGTTGAAGAGACCACAGTTGTAACAAGGAGCCACTTCCCTCTCATTGTTTTCATCTAGTTTATATTTTTGTTCAGCTACACCTAGAATATTTGACGAAATCTGGCCCATGATCTATGGTACCTTGATGGCACAAACTGGCATAAAGACCTTAATATAGACCGGCGACCAGTTTCGGATGGGATAAAGCACTTCTCAGATTCTGTGCAATCTACTCTAAGCAGAGGTTTTAACAGTCACCCTACCATCATCTTTAACTTGAATTCTTGAACTCTCTCTAATATACAAGACATACGTACCCCCAAGCCATGCCCTCTATTCTTGACACTGGGATTCATCCCCCGATCTGCCTTGCTCCGAACCTCGTAAGACTCGACGCCCACAAGCATGCGCAAGCCACAAGCGCAAACCACACGCGTGTGACAACATGTTTCGTATTGGTTGGAACTGAGGATTCCTTCGTTCGAAAGGTGGAGCGAGGAGCCCTAGAGACGAAACGCCCAGCAGCGCATGCGAACGCGGCAGCGGGCGAGACCTTTCGAGTGGGGGGCGATTGTTCAAAAGGCTTCTGGGTAGAGAGACTATAAGAAGTGTGGAACCCAGTCAGGTTGGTAAAGTTCTGTTATCCCTCCAGACGATATTGTTTGTAATGCATTTTTTGGGGTTCATGACCTTGATAACGTACTTGGTGCAAGTGCAGTTGAATTGATCACCCGCCGATGTTCATGAGATGTTCATGAACATTTGAGTACAGTCTTGAGTTCTGATGAGAGGTTCTTGTTGAAAAAAGAAACACAAGCGACACAATAGACTTTAAAAAAATCTCATCTAACTATTTTTCAATGTGTTGTTGGTTCTCGTGATGCTCGTGTTTTCATCTCCTGGATGCATCTGCACACATTTCATGGTCCTTGTGTCTTGGGCAACGACGTACCACGTCGTTTTTTTCGGTGTCGAAGTTCTTCGATGGACTTCTTTTGTCCACCGAGGTGGACCATCAAGAACTTCAAGAGCGAGGTGGGTCGTGTGGTCGGCGTTGTCTTTTGATAGTTATCATCATACTTATCAACATATATATATATATTGTTTATATAATCATATATCATGATATATCATGATATATCCGATGACGAAGGGTGGGAGGGCTATCATTCCAAAACCAAAAAAGACATATTGCACAAAAAACAAGGTGAGAAGATGTGGAAAACGCATCTTCCAAAAGCGTCGGTGGGGCGACCCTTACGGAGCCATAGAGTGGATCCTTAGACTCGGAGGAGTCGCCGGAGTCCTTCGACGTCGACGCCACGTGTCTGGAAAGCATGGCCCCCCCCGGGCGTCATCCAGAAATAGTAAGGCACTTGTTACTAACAGCGATGCACTTGTTCCTAGTAGCGTCCTTGCTCCCAATAGTAAGGCACTTGTTACTAATAGCTTCTTGTTACTACTAGCAAGGCACTTGTTACTGCATGAGAGGCGGACGTTCGGCGCAAGCATATCCTGATTTTGCTGATGATGTGTATTTTCCCTATGGGTAAATCACCTTCCGGAGAACATATGTCGGGGTTCCTTAAGGAAATCCCAGGTATGACTCGTATGACGATGCTTCAGAAGGTTTCATAGAGTCCAGATTGTACCACCTGTTACGTCCCCTCTCGGTTTCGGCCACCTCCGGACCCGCCCCCGCGGGATCCGTTTTGAGCCCGCACCGAAGGCTTTGACCCAGGCTTCACTCCATGATCGGTAGGGTCATCTCGTTACAAATCAGAAGGGGTATTCAAGGGGTATTCAGTGGGGCCAGCAAAGAATATCCATTTGTTGGTGTGACTGCAACTTCTGCTTAGCCAGAAGCAGGAGAAGCTGAGCCCCAAGGGCACGCCGATGTGGTCTCTTGGCATGACCACTGCGGGTTTCGGGTGTCCTTCTGGGATGTCTTTAGAATCCCTATAGTAGCGTCCGATCGCTCCTAGTAGCGATGCCAGGAGCCCCGATCGTAGCGTCCGATCGCTCCGTTCGTAGTAAGGCCAGGAGCCCCGTTCGTAGCGTCCTTGTTTAAAGAGGAATGAGATGCTTGCGGCTCCAACTTTGAGACAGTTCTGCTGCTTTTTCAAAGGGCACATGTCTTAGATCCTCAGCGCTTGACTTTGGGGCGAAATGGGGTGAAACGAGAGATTCAACCCTTCACATGGAGCACCTTTGAAGTCCACCCGGTTGCCAGTCATCGTTTACAAATACAACTCAAGGCCGACATGCATGTCGGCAAGTCCCAAGACCGAGGACTCGCCAGGCCCCACGGGCCGAGTGTGGTTTCTGAAGTCTTCGTCCTCCACTTCGCCCTCATGAAAGTCTCATGAACACCCCGTGCTGTGTTTTTCATCAAAACATCGATCAAACCGCGACGGAAAGAGTTGGACTCGTCCGACTCTTTTCGACTCTCCCGACTGGGTGAAGAAAAAGGGAGCAAACACTTGTTCTCTCCCCCTGGAGACTAGGCTTAGATCATCCACAGATCAGGCTTATTCTTGCCTTATCTTAGGCCGATTTGGATTGATCACTGACTCAGAGGTGGCTCATCTGAGCCCTTCTTTTTCGCTCGCGTCCTTCCACATTCGCTGCACGTCCCGTGGCTCCCAGGTCCCCCCGCTTCAAGCTGGCGGGGATCAGTGCGTGGAGACTCAATGAGAGTGGAAAAAGCGACTTCTCAGCGACGTGAGGGGCTGCTGTTGATGATGGTGAACTTACCTTTTTTTGGGGGGTGGGGGGGTGGACGGTCGGGTTGTTTTTGGGGTCGCTACCCTGGCGCCCAGGGTGTGATAGGATCCTGGAAAAAGAACCTCTACGACTGGGTCACCGTTGGTGAGAGCGTTTATGGTTTTTGTTTGGAGACTTCAGGGACCTCTTTTCGACTTCTCAGCGATTTCATAGCAGTCGATCCGAAGAGTGCTTTGACCAGACACAAAAGAGTGCTTTGAGCTGCTTTTGGGGGAGCATCAGACACGAACCAAACAATTGGCTGAGCTAAGCGTTGGAAGCCAAGACATCAACCAAGCAAACGACATAATATGACTCATGAATCGAGAGACCCCCAAGAAAAAACTAGAACAAACTAGTATAAAACCCATTGCTTGGGGTGTCTCCCTATTTCAATACAAACACTTAAAACCGCCTTTGGATCAAGATGCAAACTCTATCAAACTCTGATCAAATTGTTCTCGCGTCTTTGACAATGGTTCTGCCGGATGGCAGCGTACAGTGTTTCTCAGAAGTGGTGGCAGAGCTGTTGCTTGCGGAAGACGCAGGACGCGGAAGAATCTGACTCTTCCGCATTTTCTCCATCTTCCGCAAGCGATTCACTTTCGCAAAAACAACATTCCACCGTTTGGATGAGGGAATGTTCTTCGTGTAGGTCTCTGCAGGATGGTGTCGCGCAGTGCTTCTGTGAAGTTCAGTTCTCCAGCGGACGATGTTCCATCTCTGAAGTCGTGGAGTAAGTCCTTCTTTCATGCAATAGAGCCAGTCGTCGCTACGTTAGTGATATTGCACCACTAGGTAAAGACCACGTTCTGCAACTGGTCTTGCTGTGCTGAGATGCTGGGATTTGGCAGGGCATGAGGCGTTGCGTTTGGAGGCAAGTGCATTTGACCTGGCCATGAATGCTCACAAGCGCATTGGGCGTGACTTGCAGGTTAGCCGCCAAAATCTTCGAGTGGTCTCGCCTGATAGGCCATCGCTCTTAGGTTGGAGGCCATTGCAAGTAGGTTGGAGGCCATCGCTACTAGTAACAAGAAGCGAAGCGACCATTATATAGCTATCTTCGAGTGGTCTCGCCTCACAGGCCAAGGGGCACCTGTTGTTGGTGTTTGATCTGCAGCACAACTCCCTTCGCCAATCCAGCGGTTCGCTGGGCTGCACCCAGCGAATCACAGCCGTGATCCAAATCCCGGCACCTGAGTCACCTGCATCATCCCTAGGGATCGAGGTAAGTACCTTCTCAGGTTCGGTACGACTGGACCCGACTAGATCCAAAGGATCCAAATCGACACCCGACACCCGCGACCGCAACAAGAGCCGAAAGGCATGCCTGGTTCTTCTGCATTTCTTCGGCAGCAATACGCCCAGCGCCCCCAGCCCCAAAACGCACATGAGCCGCTCTTGGAGAAAAGGGAGGCACTCAGGAAATTAAAGTACTGGATCATATCTATTTTTGGGTGGCTACAGACGGAATCAGTCGATTTGGAACTGAGTCCGACCTTGAAAATACGTAGTTCTGTGGCCACTGCAATGGGACACCCTCCATCTTTCTGCATCTATCGAGTCTACTAGAATGTGAATCTGCACTACTTCGGAGCCTCCACACAAATTCTTGCCAAAGCAATCGATGTCGATGTCACTGCACCAACGCTCTTCCGCCGTCCTGCTATTTCCGGAACACGTACAGCCGTTCCGCACCCCCCAAAACAAACCCTTTTGGTGGGAAGAACCTCAGGACCACAGGGTGTAGGGTACGCACCACCGTCCTGCTACTCAGGAAGTGCGTTTAGAATTCCTCCCCAACGGCCGTGAGAAGTCGTGGTCCGGTGCGCCGGCAAGGGGCGGGTATGGGTTGCCGGTGCGAGGATGGGTGGAAGGGGGTACTTGATGCCCACGAAGGGGGTACTTGGGATGTCTCTGATGGGGTGGATGATTTCACCATTGCTAGCTCGAATCAAGCGCAGACGGGTTTTCTATGGTTTCTTGGTTGAGAGGTCCTGGACTCGAGCATGTGGGTGATGGCTGTGGATTCGGCCCTTTACCCCATAGGGCTCTTGGTTTTCTGGGATATGTTTGCGCAGCCTTTTTGATGGACGAACATCATGAGCTGTAGGTAACTTCACGCTGACTCGGATACAGATTCGTTTAACCTTTACCACGATGGCATTGCATCATACTAATGCATCTATATACGTATCATAAGTGCCACGGCACACACACACACACACACATTTGATGTCCATGCAATATCAGCCTTCCCTTTGATCGATGTTTCAAGTCCTTCCGTTTTGTTGTCGCTCAGTCACCTTTCGGACCATCCATGCCGCATGAATCCACTGCAAGTCTCATGCCCAATGACTTCACAAGAATGGACGGACTTGAACATCATACCAATCATACCCCTCCCGCTATGGAAAGCGGGGATCCTACTTCAGTTCTCACAGCCTCGCAGGCTTTTGCTCCCTCTTCCTTTGGTGTCCACCTGGAACAAGGATCAGGCGCAGATTTTCGCTGATCCTTGTGGCGGGAGGGACCTGGCTCTGGAAGTAGGGAGACCCCAGAAGATCCAAACATACACTTTCCACGAACCCCTTGTGAGGTCTTCCTATTTCAATACAAAACCATGGATTCAAAGGAACGTGTTCGATGATATAGTCTAGTTGAGCAACCCGCAGGGTTTGATTGTTTTCCAATGCCACGCAAGTTTGATGGTGCTTTCTGACGCTTTAGATCTCTTTAGCCAAACTTTAGTCATTTGCAGGTCACACGTTAGGCGCTCCATAGCTATCGATGTACTGCCCAAGTACTTCACAAGCTACTTGTAGCAGACTGGTGGGACCTTCAGAATCAAGAAAGAGTTGTTCTATTGCCAACACATCTGTGAGAGGAAAAAACTCCTACACAACTACGCAGAAACCTGTGCATCACGTTCCTATTCCAAATATCCCAACGGTTAATTCGAAAGGAATCTTCATTTGGTGGCTGAGGTGAACTGGCACACCAGGCTCTTTGGCAGGTGAACACCGTTTCTGGGATGCCTAGCAGGGGCAGAAAACTAGACCCTTTGGTACCAGAAAACTAGCCATGGAAGCACGAACTAACTAGGCGCTGTTTCTTTCTGTCCATACGCAGTAGCATGTACCACCCCGTTTGACGACCTCGTCTCACTCCAGAGAGGCAGAGGGTGAGAAGAAGGATGTGGCCGGTGATGACCCGAATCGCCGCTCGTGACCAGGTATCAACTCTGGGTGGGGTCCTTTATGAAGGCTCCAGATGAGGACACGTGCGCGCGGCGGTGGAAAGAGATGGCTTCGTTTTTTAAACCTTTTTTCCGTCGTCGCCATGGTGAACACCGATCTGCCGATCGTCAACCGCCTTTCAGAGCTGTTCCAGGACTGAACGAACTCCAAGTGACTGAACGGCTTCTGATTCTGTATGTCATGAGTGGTCGTGTGAGTCGTGCCTATGTAGCCGTTGTAGATTGACCTGAGTTTGACCTATGTCGCATGGAAGACTGACGGAGCGCCAAAACGATTGAGGACATTCATCCATCAAACCGGCTGGATATTTTTTTGGCGAACTTTTTGCTTTTAGCATAAGAGTGTAGACACTTGATATTCACTTGATCATTATATATACGCATGAGCGGTGTACAGAGGTGCACACCATTTCGTCCGGACCAGCGTCCGACGACCATGACCGGTGCTCCGACCACGACTAGCCGGTCAGAAGGCGGTGCCTCCGTCGGTGTTCCGAGTCCAAGTTCGGGGTGCGACCGCGGCGTCTCTGAAACGGCATGTAAAACGATACAGCCTGGCGCCATGCTGATTGGAGGATTTTTTTTGTTTTCTCTATGGGAAAGAAGAAGTGACCCCTTCTGGGGAAGATTCTTTTTTTTTTTTTTTTTCGGTTTTCTTTAAGAACATCCAAGTACGGGATGTAGTCAGCTGGACCAGGATCTACGGTTCGATGTTCACACGCTTCCACTCTCAGTGCAGGGAACTACGGTAGCGCTCAGCAATGCTGAGCGTACTCACTTCCTGGATCTGGAAAGAGTAAGAGTATAGAAACATGATGAAACATGTAGTTCCACGCTTTTTCCATGGTGGGTTGACCGTATGTTCCACTGTGCTCCACTGGATTTCGTTGCATGTGCAATCCATGCATTCCCGTCCCGCCCACTTCGCAATGGGAGGAACTCCCATGCCACAGGTACGACGCGGAAGTGGGCCACGGCCACTCCAACTTCTGTCCCTTAGCGCCGGAGGTGGGTCGGTCGTCGCCGATGCGTTTTCCTTACGACCCGGGGCGACGGCGCGACGTCTCGACGTCCACGCCGGGGCGCCGATCCGTTCTCTGGTCACGACCGGTTTTCGGCAGATCGACCTGGCGAACGACAGCGTCACCGTGGGATGCAACATCTTTGAGGCGCGGAACCCTCCGCACGCCGCGCCCCAAGAAGGAGCTTTCAGGATCGGTGATCGGTGGGTGGCAGGTTGAGGGAGGAGCATCGGGATCAGGGAGAACTTGGGTGAACTTATAGGTTCTTAATTGTTCTTATAGATCTGAAGGCTCTTCTTGGTTCTTCAGTTCTTCCTTGGAAACATCTTGAAGTGGTTGCTGTTGATGAAATGACTCACGTGGTGCAAAGGCCGCTTTTTTTGAGGACAAGTTCATCTCAAGGTGCTGTATAGGACCTCTAACTTAACAGTAAACATGAGAGATCGTCAATGTGTTTGAGCACGATGATGGACCCATGAGTTTCCCCTGAGCTTGACTCATGGACCCTGAAAACTGATACATGTTGCTTCGGCCCAAAACCCTAGTTGTGATGGTCAAAACCCAGCTATGAGGCTACGGCTTTGGTCCAACAAGATGCTTCTTTCTGACTGAGCGAACAGGTCATGACCACCTACGAGATGACTGAAAGGAACCTCAAGCTGTCTGCTTGGCCGCTGCAACAGTGGGTCAAGAAGGAGGCGGCAGACCCGCAACGCATCCGCTGAACGCGGAACGCGATGTTCCGTCGCGTGTTCCGTAGCTTCCGAAGGGATGAAAGAACAGGATGCGAGCATTGTAAAGCTGGAACGGTTGATGGAGGCCGGCCTGTGAAACCCAAGGCCACAGGAGGGGGAGCTAGGCGAGAACATAATTATATAGAACAAGACAGAATTGGAGGTGCATTAGAATGAGATTCCTACCAATACGATTTCCTCCACGCTCCCTGAAATCATGATGAGTTACATGGATGGCAGGTTGAGCTCACCTCACACCATCAGATGACCATGAGCTCCGAAAACACCAACCAGGCGGTTTTTGTCACCAAGACTCCACGAAAGCTTCGGCTTCTCTACCCGTTGGAGTGAGTGAGTCTTCCCACTCCTCACTCCCTCCACGGAGCGAGTGAAGACACCGTGGTCCCTGGTGCAGCTGTTCACAGCTGAAAGACGAATGGAGGAATTCAAAGCCAAAACTCCCAGGATGGCGTGGGATTTGTGATTTGTATATTGGGAGCGAAAACCATCAAGACTCACGAACTTTAACATGGAAGTGGCAGAGATGGTCTTGAAAGGAAGACTACATTCCTTTACGAACAGGGAGTTTTACATTTCCATGTGATGTGTTCGTCAGAGTGCAAACCTTTTTGACCAGCCAGCCTGCAATGAAGCCAATGTCGGCAATGTGGGCGGTTTCACGATGGAAGGGTGTTTCAGGCAGACATGAATGTCCTTGCGGGGGATGATTTGGCCACACTGAATTGAAACAAACAATCCTCGCTTGTAAGGCTTGAGCTCCTCGCTGTGAACTGGCTAAGCCGGTTCACAACTGGGACGAACCGAAAGCCATTGGAGCGAAGAACCCAGTCGCCCGTTCATCATCGATACTTGACCCAGTCAACCTTGGCAGCTCAGGTTTGGTGCCATGACTCACAGCTATGTTCTTGTTGAGGTCCCATCATTCCTGCATAGAGGGGTGAACCTTGGGACTACGGAGCCCCCCCAAGAAGTGGGTGTTGCACTGAAAATTGAGACTTCGTTTCCGACCAAAACCTACCAAAAGGATCCAAAAGGTCGAACTGGGAGGTCGACCTCCTATGAACAATTCCTTCGCCCCCTCAGATGCGCACCGTTGTTGGCCCTTCTCGGCAATGACGGGCCTATGCCCGTCTCTGAGAACCCATGGCCGCCAGGCGGAGGTCTTGGAGAACCGCGGGGTGAAGTCCATCTCGTGGAAAGTCCACAAGGTCGAACATTCGACGGCCCGTTCTCAGCGACAGCAGAGGGTTCCGTGGGTTTCTGCAAGTAAAGGCAGGCAACCAGAGTTGCGAGGTGGAGCGTGTTTTGAAGAAGGTGAAGATGCTTGCAGTGGCCATGTTGCTTTGATGTCTAGGATGTCATGTTGTCAACGACGCCACCGACTTGGAGAGCCTGATCGTCCCGTCTGACCGTTTCAACTCATCTCTGACGTCTTATTTTACGTTGACAAAGACTGTTTCGGTATTCACATGTACTTGGCCTGACCAAGAGGCGAGACAAACATGTTTGTTGGGAAGGACATTTTTTGTCGCGGCTTTGCAGGTGGGAAATGCCTTGCACCTCTATCAAAGAGGCGCCTCAATGTCGCCTGGATGAAATTCAGCGACTCATCAGCTGTTCGATGCAGCGCAGCTGTTGGAAACTCAGCGACTCACAACTGTTCCAATGATGGACGTTACACCTCACCAAGTGGTCATCACAAGTGATCAAGCATGATCAAGTTATACACCAAGTGGTCACGAGCGGTGGCCGTTATACGGCCGTAAACAGGGGCTATATATGGCTATATATTATATACTATTATTGTCTAGCTGTGCACTTCTCGTCTTTTTTTGAAGACCTGGCCACCATGTCTCGTTATTCACCATGGGATGCAGTGAAGTTCACCTAGCCGAAAGCATCCGAAAGCCCTACAAATACTTGCATTGGGACGATGCATGTGGCATTGTTGTATTGTTTGCAAGACCAGTAGGAGTAGGAGACAAAAATGGATATATATTGATATTATTGTTACTACACACCATGAACTCATCATGTAAGCGGAACGCCACCACCTGCTTCGGGGCTTTGGAACATGGTCATCCGACATCGGGGAAAACCTGCCATCTGAACTCATGATCATTTCAGGGAGTATTCATGCTAGAAAGTTATGGATACTGTTATAGAGATTTATAGAGTTCATCCCTTTCGCGATGGCCTCCAACCTAGAGTTCAACCTACTAGCGATGGCTTCCCTTGGCGCTATAGAGTTCCTCTCGTTGCCGAGTTCATTCCCGCCCAGATGCAGCCCCTGCTTCACGGCAGCTGGCATCAGCGACATCCAGTGGCTCGGACTTCATCCGACGGACTCCGGTCTTCATCGACTCGGCCACCGGTGTTCTTGATCGACTCGGCTCGGGTCGACTGTGTGGGCGGACCGGGCACGTGGACCTGTGTGGGCACGTGGCACGAGCCGCAAGACTGACTGATATAAAGGATGGATGGTAGAGACATTTGCATCAGAGCAGTCGAAGTGGAGCATATGATCCACTTCATGGTCTTCTTTCGGAATTCCTTCCTCTCATATCTTGGGACAACTCCCTTCAAGTAAGGTCAAGCAGTAGCCAAATACATGTTACACTGGCTAATTGTGAGCACTGAGGATGGAGTTTTATCCCAACGGCTGCGCTGCGACCAAGAAGGACCGGCATCGCAGCCGAGTGAAGTCAGTAGACGACGGGTGGCCAGCGACTGCAGTCGGCCACAAACTCTCGCAGTTCAGATGAGGGAACTTTCAGTGAAATCCATAAAGCTACACCCGGTGGCGGCGTTCTGGAGGCTGTAGAGGTTGATCATGGTTACCTGGTTGATCCGTGTTGGCCTATAGTTGGCGGATCCTTCCTCGTTGCATCCTTTGTTTGGTTTGGGAGCGAGGGTTGTAGTGTCTCGTGTTCTCCAAAACATTGTAGGTACTTATTTCAGCGAAAGCTCAGCAACCGGGCAACCCGTGCATTCCAAATGTCTACTAAAGGAGCGCGTCTAAGTCTAAGACACTCTTCTCCTCATGTGGAATAAAAGGAGACCCTGCCTTTTGAAGGGGCCACAAAGTCTATTTCGGTTGGCCCTTTCGTTGCCAAATGTCCAGAACGACCTTCAAGGTGTTCGTTTGTGGGTTCCCGCCAATCATGATTCATGGACCAAAACCAGACCCCCTAGGAAGATGTGGGAGACTACTGTACATTGCTCCGTTGGTGTTTCTTCGGATCATGGAGGAATAAACAGCATGTGACGTGTTCGTCAGTGTGGATCTCTGTTGGCATCATACCGACTTGAGAGACCAGATGAACACCGACCCGACCTGAAAAACTCCACGTCCGATGCCGCCAGGACGGCTTCTGCTCCCTCTATGTGAGGCAATGGGATGGATGCTGCTCTCTCACCCCCAAACCACCCACCCAAACCGTCGAGACGCAATCTGAGTGTTGGGACGCATTTGGACCTTCAACTGTTTGTTGTGCTCCGTTCGCGTCCTCGGTTTTCGATGGTGTTCGTTTGAAGGGACCCAAGCCACTACCCAATGTGGTGGTTTGTCGGCTGGACACAGGCCCCTGCCATTTTCTTTCAGTGGCAAAAGAGCTATAGCTACTATAGCTGCTAAAGTTGATATGTTTGCCAACAGCCAAGACATCTTCACCTTCGAGTTTTGTACCAAAGGAAACCAAACAGAAAAAATGATCACGCACGCTTCGGACGAGCCGCACGAATGGCCGAAACAAAGACGCAGAAACCACACAATGTGATCCTTTGCTTTCTGTGCCGACGTCCCCTCGTCCAAGGGCTGGCTGCAAGTGTAGTGACGCAGGTCCACCCGTGTGCACATCGAACGTTGGGGCCAGTATGGTTCAGGTTTTCGGTCGTATGGTTCTGGTACGGGCGTCATCGTTTTTGGCCAGATGCCCGGAGAAAGTGGTTTTGATCGTGACCTTGATTGTGGGCAAGGTCAAGAAGGCGCAGCGACATGGGGGTGTCTTGAAATATCCGAAGGTAGTGATCCCTTCGTGTTTATTTTTCGCAGCTTTCTGGTGATTTTCTGGGGTATTGAACGTCACGGTGGTTGTGCAATTTAGAGACCCATTCTGGGTGAGCAGAATGCTCGTTTCTCCTCTGATCCATTGGCCTTATATCCATATTCCACAAACATTCATAGATATGTGAAAGATGATGCAGCTCTTTGGTCATAGACCACGGATGCAATGAAACTATGGACTTCTTGCTTGTCCAACATTTCATCAAAAGCGTCAAAAGCGTCACAGGCCCCTGGAAGAGGGCGTCTTGTAGTGTCTTGAATTCCTACCCGGTCAGTGGATGACCTTTAGCTTTTGTTTCTGCATTAAACAGGTGAACCATGGTGCCATGGTGAACCAGTGAACCATGGTGAAGCTTTGTCTTCCAGGGAGACTGAGGGAGTTTGAAATAGAAGTACTACAGCAAGGTGTATCTTCAAAGTGTATCTTCTCACGGAGTTTGGGACTTTTCAGATTCAGAAGCCAATCACTCAGAGTCACATGCTGGTGATGTTGCAGTAACACGTGACCATTGAAGCAACCATTGGGCTCTCCTTTGGCCCTTCGTTCATGATCCGTTGACGCATGTCAATAGAGGTTCATCCTCCAAAGAGTCCTCCAAAGAAGGCCCATGATAACATCGACATGAACCACCTGGGAATTTTTAGCACATGACTCTACTCAGGATTGCTTTTCCTTTTCAAACAAATCAGTGGAGCTACTACTTGCAACTACACTGCACCTCCCAAAAACATTCAAAAACCCGAACCCCTACGTCGTATGTACCTTGACGACTCTCCAGAATCCACCGTTTGGTGTGAACAAAAAGACGGCTCTCAGGACGTTCTGCTGTGCGTTCTTCCACACCCGGTTTGAACCCACCCCTTTATGGTGTCACCCGGAAACACCCCGGTTTCACCGCCTGCCTATCCCGGCGTGGCCAGGGGCCGATCAGGACCACCTTCGACCGGGGATCCGGGAAGGGCTTGCCCGACTTCTGCAGTTTGAAGGCGCCGACCGCGTCGCCGCCCACCGCGGCGCGGACGCAGCGAGAGACTCGGACGCGTCGGCGCCGTGACGCAGCGAGAGACGTCGGACGGGCGATGGGCGGGATTCGTGGGCGGGAGACAGCCGAGAAGTTTGAAGACGGAGACAGGCAATGCGTCATGGCAATGCCTTGGCAATATTTGGTCTCTTTGTAGAGGGTGCTGAGAGTGAGGAAGATATTTATGAAGACAATATCGCATAGTGCTGCTCATGTGTTGTTGTGGTATTTGTCTCATATTTGTTTCGTATTCCTGGAAGCGAGTCGTACTTGTTGTATTTCTGATTTTGTCGTGTATGTGTGTGCGTGTCATTGGTTTACTGATGTCGCGATTGACTCCGCTTTCAAGCGGAGTCAATTGCTGCAAGGGCTGGAAGGGGGCATTGACCTCAAATCCCACAGTCCCAAATCTATGGAACAATCCATTTTGACAATGCCTCCAAGTTACCATTGTCGGATATCATGTTTCTCAGATGGATTTGTTGATCTATACTATACTGATCTAACCGCCTTGACAATTGAAAAGACCAAGACACAAATCACGAAAGGTAGCCCTTAAGGGGATACCTAGAGTTTGTCTTGCGCAGCAAGTGTTGGCGCGTCCGGGTCTAATAATTGATCATTCAATTCAACCCCCCCCCCCTCGAATTGATTTCTCAATACAGACCCCCTCCCCCCCCCCTCTCTAATTCAATTCTCTCCTCGAGAACGTTTTCGTGAGCCTTTCATGATTTCAGGATAGTTGAAACCCTCTTGAACGTTGAGAAAGAGTGCATATGATATTCTAATCACGAAAGGTGTTCCCTGAGGGGATACATACCTAGAGTTTATTTTGTGAAGCACGTCAATTCTCTCCTGTGGAACGTCTTCGTGAGCCTCTTATGGTTTCAGGATAGTTCAAATCCTATGATGCTCCGATTCAATGCTCACTGATGCTGTGAGCCATGGGGCAAGTTTGTTTTCCTAAGAATCTTTTTAAACATTTCGAGAGCGTATGATTGAACATTTAGAGTGCATATGAAATTATATTTGCGAAAGGTCGCCTCCGAGGGGATAAATCACCATGTCGAACATTGCATTTTTGTTGGTGCCTCTCGCGTTCTCTTCTCTTCCCGCTGTCCTACCTTTCGTGTCTCCCTCCTCTCAAGTGCATCAAGGATCCAAGGAGAATCTGTAATTCGGAACCCCCACCTATTAGATCCAAGGGCAAAGGTTCAGATCCTTGACTGATCCTCATGGGCCTCGGTGGAATCCGAACATTCGACTCAGCAGGAACCGTTGGACGTAAGCCGCCGAGCCGCTTGCCGAGCGGCGGCAAGCCGAGCGGCGGCAAGCCGAGCGCACCTGGCAGGAGCAGATCAATGATGATGACACTGTGGATGTGACTTGGCAGAAAAGGACACTAGCCCAACCAAAAGGGAATACCGAGCGAGAGTTGTGTTCAGCGATGGCAGCCATACATGACCAACCATCAAATATTTTTTGGTGTGAAAACACGAAAAACGCAAATAAACATGCAAAATCAGCGCAATTTGCTTTGCTTTTGCAATTGTTTTGCTTGTTTTTTGTTTTTGTTTTTTCCTGATTCTGCACTTATGAGAACGTTTACCCGTCAGCAATATTCGCTGTACGCTCCTAGGAACAAATCGAAAACCATGCGGAAAACACGCGCAAATCGAACAAATAAGAACATATGCCATAATAAATCGAAACGAACGTGAAAAAAAGGTGACAAACACGCACAGCTACATTTTGTTGCTTTTTTGTTTACTTTACTTTTGTTTTCTTTTTCTTTCTCTTTAAACAATTATTTTGGCTCCTTGTATCCATGGTTGGCGTGCCGAATTCGAACCGAGAGCAACAGTTCTCCTATATCGGTTCTTTTTTGGGCGTCCAACGGCTCAGACTCACAACTTCAACCAAAAAGACACCTCGTCGGACCCAGCTCGCTTTCAAGAACTTTGCTCCCAAACTCAAAACTCGCTCGCAAAACCATGCAAAACATCCATCGAAGAACATGTCGATGAAGACACCATCACTTGCACATGGAAAACGAAGCTTCTCTTTGCGCGCGGAATTTTACGTGTGGGCAGCGCGTGACCAGGTAGGCATTGAGCTGCAAAGTCGGCCGGCCGCCACGTTCGGGGCACTCAGATGGGATTGCGATTCGTTAAGGATATTTCGATGAATTTTGACAAGTGAGAGAGATGATATCTCCATCTTTCGAGTCCGGTTACCAGTTTTTGACTTTCAGAAAGTACGCACATCAACATCCCGAAAACAAAAAAACAGCGACCGGTCAAAAAACGAAGAAAGCTCGATCAACAGAAGGCCCTAATACTCATCCACCGCAAGCAGGTCAAGTCGTTGGTGCCGGTTTCGTCGCATTCCACCGCTCCACGGCAGGGTGCTCACTCTCGAGAGTCGCTGAGGGCGGAAGAGAATCCGATCAAAAAATGCTGTTCGTTCTTCGCCAATTCAAGACGATGTGCACAAAAAACACCACCAGAGCTCACCCTCTCTCTTGGATATTATTAGATATTAGCCTTGAAGACATCCCACTTATGGAGGTTCTCATCATTTTGGAATCTCCATCCGTCAGATTTGGCGCATAAAATTGGTGGAGTTCTCAGGAGCCTGGCTCCGAAGGTTGCGCCGAACCGATTCTTTCCACTGCAAAGCTGATGCTCCAGAAATGTCACTCACTGCGCACAACGACGTGGGAGTGGCTTGGAACCGCCAGTGCAGGCGTTTTCAGGCAAACATCCGGGGAAAAGCTGATCTCGATGCTGATTGAGTGCTATGTGAGCCAGGATCAAAAGCAGGGTACATACTCATTAGATGCGATACTTGTTGGATCTTGCTGTCAAATGCAGAGTTGGTTTCTACAATCCTTCCAAGGATCGGTTTTGAATTGTCGTCGCTTCGTTTGTTTGTAACCTCGACTCACTGGCCAGTGTGGAATACCTTATGAGCAACTTCTTTGTGCCGCTCATTCCGCCGGTTTCTTGGCTCAGTAGGTAGGTGGACCCTGTTGGTAGTGTGGGTGTTCATGTCTAGCCACGATGTGGTTCAAATATGTTCAAACAACTTTGATTACTGTATATATAAATATGTGAGCAGTATTTGCCAGCATGCCAGCATTTGCAACCTCATGATATCATGGCACATGCAAATTTCAGGCCTCAAGAGTGTTGACCTAGTTTCACATTCACAAACATGACAGATTGTGTTCACAGAGAGAGAGAGAGAGAGAGAGAGAGCAAAAAGCACCCACAATCAGTTGGGCCATCAGTGCCTGTTTTGTTCATCGTTATGTCATGAAGTGTCATTGTCATGTTCCTTTACTCTCTTTCTTTCGTTTCAAATATCCCCCCACACCCAATGGAACCAACTTCAGCCGGAAAGCAACCGGAAAGCCGGCCACAGCACCAAACAAGATGCCCTCGGTCATACTCGGTTAGGCAGTCGCCCTTCCACCCACCCGACCCGCCCTCCTCTTCAGCGGCTCGATGTGGCGCTCCTTGGCGGAGAAGGGCGAAAAGCCCCGGTCCGCGCTGACGAAGGAGGCCTTGCCTTCCTCGCCGCCGGAAGAGGCGCTGGCCCGCAGCGATGGCAGCAGACTGCAGGCGGGTAGTGAGCCGTGGGGCGAGTCGGCCGCAAGGGGTGGGCCACTTGGTCTGCTGGCTGGGGCGTTGAACGCCCCAAGAGCGGCGGCTGGGGCATGTGTTGGGTGTGGTGAGTGGGTGATGATATGGTCCGATTTGGATCATCAGAGATGGAGATGCCCAGCCCTTTTAGAAGCCACAAAGTGTGAGTGATCAGGCTTCGGTTCAGCGCCAAGGCACCGGAATTCATATATTCACAGATTATTCCTCTTCACTTGCCGTGGAATGCCATGGAAGTCCTTTATTTGACTGAGGGGTTGCTTGACTCAGGGGTTGCTCGCCCGTTTCACGACGCTTGGATGAAAAGGGTCCGTCGGTTCCTCCGGGTGACCCGTTACCTGGTACGATCTGTGTGGCCAAAGTTTTGAGGAAAAGATCTCAACAGGATGTGACCAGATGGTCACCCGAAGAAAAGGTCTTAATAAGACCAGGTCTTTTTTAAGGTCATGCATGGTCATGCCGCCCTATGAATCTATGAGGAGTTTCCACAGCTTCAGATGGTGGGATCGTGACCAGATGGTCCTAGATCAGACACGATTATACTTCTTGGGCCTCATGATGAATCAGGCCTCTCTTAACCATCACCCACTTTTTTTTGGGTGATTTGGATAGATCCAGGTCACAACAAAAACAACGTGGAATTCAATCAGAAACCACATGCTGCCGAATGGGGTCCACCACGCAGGGGTTTTGACGACGACCGGGTCTGCCGACCTCTGCCAGCTCCTGGAAGACCAGACCTTGCTTCGGTGGACGCAGCGTAGCAATGGCCACTGGGTGTTGGCCTGGACGAAGGAAGAGCGTCCTTGTGACGTTCGTAGCAATGGCCTCCAACCTAATAGCGATGGCCTCCACCTAGTAGCGTCCTTGTTGAAGAATGAAGAGGATTGAAGAGGTTCCCAAATGCACTGGAAGCAGTCTTCACATTTTTGGAGGGGAGTCTTTGTTCATTGTTCTATCATGATTATAATGTTTTATCATCATGTTCTATAAGTTCTATCTAACTGGGGTATTCTCGGGTCACTTGTTCTTTTGCACTCCATTGGGGTTTGGCTGTGTGGCCAAATTTGGTTCGTTACTATAGGGTGCTTTTTTGATTGCTGACCATCGTAAAGCAGCGAGTAGAATCCCACTGTTGAGAGAGTTTAACCAGGTGCCTCGTGTTTTTCCAACCGCCTGGTCAAGGAGGGAGTGTTTTCTTTTCTCGTTGACTTAACAACCGGATTTTCATTGCACCGTGTTTGGTGTTCCAGAATCGATTGATACATCAGACCTTACATAGTCAGTCTCCAGCCACCCTTCAGCAACAAGACCGGCTTGATAGGGTGCATTAGGTTTCTGAGCTGGACTATTATGTAAGACTGAGCTAGTTTGACCAGCTAATTGGATTGCTATGTCCTTGAATTCTTTTAACGTGGCTTTCCGGGGTCGGGCTTGATTGAGAATCGGAAGGCCTTTTAGGAACACCTCCTGTTGCTTTGATTTTTTGTACCTCATTTCTTCAGCCAGGCGATTTGCCAACAGACTTCCAACCCTTTCCCGACCGGCCAAGGTAGTTGGAGAAAGCCCGAGATTTGGCCAGTCGACAAGGATCAGCTGGAATGGTCTTCTCCGGCATGAGTTTTTTTAATTCCCCAAGCAGTTTACTCTGTTGGGGTTTGCTCAGACCGATGCAGACTTACGGCGGTCAGATTCTTTTGGGTCTACGGTGGATCCCAAAACTGATGCCAAAGGCGCATGGCTCCGGCAGACTAGGACTGACATGTCTCTCGGTGCATCGCTGAGCAAAGAACAAGTCTTGGACATGAAAGACAAAGGAGATCCAAAGCAGTGTTTGAGGTTAGCTATTCTGTATATTTAGGGGGCGCTCCATCTACTGGATGGGCCCGGATGGGTTGTTGATGGCAATCGTCAGCAACCAGATGGGTATAGAGAACAAGCGTAGCGACTCATCACATTTCTTGTGGGACGTCCACGCCCAACTCCATGTTTCTCGAAACTGGTGCAACCCAACTGGCCCGTCTCAGAGTTGCATAACTTTCTCCACCAAGAGCAACCAGAGGTGTCGACCTTCAAACTCATCCACTATCTACCCGCATCACCCGGTTTCTCGTTAAAACCCGCTGCTGAAAGGGGCCACGGGGGAGACGGGATCACCGTCTTCGAACATCGGCCACAGCTGCAACTGTTCGCTCGCGCCAGGCTTACCTGGGAAATCTCCCAGCAGCAAGCGGAGCTGGCGGAGAAGCGGGCGGCCAAGGCGGGATGCGATGGTCCCGCGTTCAATTTCTGTTTGGTCGAAAATAGCGAGGTGAGGTACCGTATCCTTCGTGCTGGTCATGGTGGTTTTTGGTGGCGTGGCACTGGGGGGCTTCAGGACGGCGCTTTCGGTGCTTTCGGGGCGCCGCAGCGCCCAAGAAGTGCCTCGAAATTGGAGATGGCTTGGTGAGCTTGACCATGTTTCTGTACAAAGTGGGCAATGTTTCCCGCGTTCATGTGGAAGTGGGAAACAAGTAGCTGACAACTATTAAAAACTGTGAGTTCACAGCGAGTTCTATCTTTTGCAAGTGCCGGACTGGAATCTTGCCTTTGCAGCACCTTTGGGCTGGCAGAACATCCGCTGGCCAAAGCACAGAGTTGGGCTCTGGCACAGTACATGTTGACGCCCAAGCGTATGACATACAGTATTATACAACGATCATGCAGTCAAATTGAAAAGAGTAGGGTCCTCGCTCCTAGTAGCGATGCTCTTTGTTACTAGTAGCTTCTTGTTCCTAGTAGTAAGGCCAGGAGCTACTAGTAGCTTCTTCTTACTAGTAAGGAAGCAAGCCAGGAGTTCACTCTCAAGGGCTGTATTGGACCTCTGTAGCTAAACTCTTCCAAACATCTGAAAAAACCATTCACATGACCAACACCGAGCGTGGCAACACACTCACGGCAAAACACGGTCGACCGTGTGCCGTGCTTAAAACGGGCGGACAAGGCCTTGCGTTCTGCGGAAGCAGTGCGAGGGAGGCGGCTGCCTTTCAAGCTCTTCCTTTGCAGCCATGAACTGGCTGCCCTTCCGATCAGAGGCTGAAGGCTCCAATCAGGAAAGTTCCGAAGGAAAGAACCTCGGTGATAGCCAACCATACGTAGTAATTAGATGTAATTAGCATGACGAGACCGATGGCAAAGCTGATTCAATTAAATGGAGGAGATCTCTCTGGACATCTGACTAACCTCTGTGGGTTTTTGGCTTTCTTTCTTTCTTTCTTTCTCGACAGAATCGATCTAGGCAGGCCATGTTCTGAGGACATCGTCCTGTTCAGGCGATGTTTTGTAGTGTCTCGTGATTGGAAGTTTGTGAAGATCTGACTTCTGCTGTTTCTACACTCGTTTTGGTTTGCCATGTGTCCCAAGACTGAGGGGCATTTGAGGGTGAAGGTGGGGGATCACATTGATCGAAATTCGGCGCTGCGCACCGTCATGTTCCACTGAAAGAGTCCCTCTGGAAGCGATTTGTTCGATGTATTTTGGATTGTGCCCAAGCCTAAGGTCCTAAGGTCCTGGTTTTTGGATTTGTTCGATGTATTTTAGGATGTTCATTTTCGATGTATTCATTGTCATCCTAAGGTCCTAAGAAAGATTCATGACACACATCGGCATGCTTTTTTCTACCATCGTGATGTGGAGGATGGTTTGTCATGCGGAAGTTCGAATTCACGAGGCACCCTATATGCACAGTAACTATGGGTAACTGGAGACCCCGGAAGTTTCTGCTCATGCCATGAGTTTCCGGCCAGTCTTGCAATGTCCGGTGGGAATTTTCCGCTGCAATCATTGAAGCCAACCTGCAGCCCTGGTTGCATGAGGAAGTCTTTGGGATGTGCAAGGCTTGTTACACTGACAGCAGGGTAGAATCTCGTGACACTGTTTCTACACCTGTCATTGCATGGTTTACCAGTTGATGACCCCAGGGAGTTTGGCCTTAGTCTTCAACAACCCCACCACCCTTCGGTCGATCTGACGTCTGACACGGTGGGTTTTCTCTTTGCCTTCCATCTGGACCTCATCTGGTCGCCTTCCTCGGATCCGCTCTGCGCACCATCGTGCCGGTTCTTGCTCATGTCTTCTTCGTCGCACGGGTGTTGCTTCTTCCGCCTCTTCGGCCGCAGACGTCGTTTCGTCGTCGTCGTCTCCGGTTTCGCCCGCTCAGGACTGAGGCGAAGAGCCATGTCAGCTCTGAGACGGTCCCACGCCCAAGGAAGGTCTACCGTGAACGGGTCTTGGTGCGCGTCTATGACTTGGGACAGGCACCCCAGGGCCAAACGGGAGAGGGATCCATCAAGATCTCAAGAAGGCAGATTGGACCTCATGAAATGTCATACAACAACACTACGCAAGGAAGAGGGCCAAGCTGTACTGGGTTTTTGTACCTTACAGGAAAAGGTTTCTTTCCGCAAAAGCGGTTCAGAATTGCCTCACTGACAGTGTGGGATCCGAGCAGACGCTTTTTTTCAGCGTCCGCTTCGTTACCTCAGGCGATGTTGACACGGGGCTACAACCAGCTCACCAAAGACTACGGAGCTTTCCACACGGGAGTCGAGGTCTATGGTCGCTTGGAAGAAACGAAGAAACTGGGGGATTCCAGGCTTTTGTGCTTGCAGCCAACAATGATAGGCTTGTTGTGGCTTTCTACTTAGTGCTGAAGAAAGTCATGCTCTGCCAAAGTGACAGAATTGGATGTGTTCAAATGACTTACCACTTTCTCGTAAGCCCAAACGGATTCAACTACAGGCTAGGATAAGCTAGGTGAGGAAAATCAAGGGATCACTTCCAGCTATCAAGACCCACTTCGGTAACTGCGCTGTTTTTGTCTATGTCCTCCCCGGGTGGTTTGAGCAGATGCAGCGGAACTTGCAAGAACTTAGGCAAAGAGTGGAGCTTCTTGGCATTTTTCAGGTGAGTCCACAGGATGAGGGTGAAAATGGTGCATCTCCTCAGCTAGGCTTGTCTATTCTGTTCAAGTTTGGGTTGACCCACACCCATTTTGTGCATGTTTTTCTTGACCGAGAAACCGAATTCAGAGAGTGTTTTGTTGTTTCTTGCTTTTGGAGGAAGCGTGCCGTGAAACGTGATGGATGTTGATCTCTAGGTCTTCCGTGGAACCCAAATCCTCTCATGTAGAAATAGTCTTGAAAAAGGATAGTCTTTCTAAGAGTGAGGAGGACCGAGTAGGTGCTTCACATTTGTATGTGACCAGATGACTACGAGGAATGAAGTAGGCGTCTTGCTTATGTTTCATCATGTCCGATTTATATGATGAACATCAAGTACGTCCCCCACATGCCTAGGTCTCCATGGTGTTCCATGGTCTCCCAACAATCGCAGAATCATGGACCAAATCCAAGGACTCGGACTGGGTATGACTGGGTCGGTCACCAAACATGCAATAGATAAGCATGATAAGCCAACAAAGTTCTGTAATTTCAACAGAATCTGCACTGCCCGTCAGAATGCACTTATGGGCACTTGAATGAGTTGAGGTTGTACCTCCAGACTTCCACCAAAAGCAAGGCTAATAATTAAGTGACCTCTTTTGCTGCGAAGATGTTTAGTGTCAATAGTCCACATTACCACCTTGGCCGTAACCTCTTGGATCTTTGACGCCTTCCCGGCGCTCCTAACCCTTCCTCGCTTATCAGCTTACTCTGCACTTGGTTCTTCACCAAACTACCATGTTGACATCTCCAAGCTTGTTGTTGGATGTTGGTTTTGTTTTGGCAGAACCAAGCTTCGTTGACCTCCAATAAAGAGAACGCATAAAATTCATTAAACATCTTCGGGCAAGCGGCTTGGATTCTGGGATCCCACTCATTGCTTCCCTGGCCAACTCCCAAAAGTTCCAACTCCCAACTCCCAAAGTCCTCCATGTTTGGTGACGAGTCCCGGTGCCTGAGACGGGTCAATCCCCAAAAATCAAGCCACGCTTCCAGGGCGCTAGTTCTGACGGAACATGGCGGGCGGGGTTGCACCTCTTTTTTCGCCACCCAGGTACCGCCCGGGTCTTCAACAAAAAATTGAACACCGGCGCGATTTCGCGCATGTTTTGCCGTGTTTTGCTCCAGGTTTCGGTATGACGCTGGACCATTCTTCGGGCATCATCTGCCACGAACCAGCCCAGAACCCTGACCACACCTTTCGAGAGACGCTATGCATGGGCTATACACGGTATAGCCCTCGTGAGGTGGGCCGCTTGGCGACACGTACGTGGAAATCGGTGTGTTTTCAGGTCGAAGATGGGCCATGAAGCCAAAGAACCCAAAGGTTTGGGACGATCAGACCGGCCAGGCTGTGTTCCTGTATGTGCTTCGAGATCATCCACCTGTTGTGTGAACACATGTCGGGTGATCATCGGGTTTGGAACGCTTGGAACTGGACTGGACGAGAACCAAGCAGCATATGCAACAATACGATCTTTTTGAGGAGTAGGCAGTAGGCTTGTTCCGGTCCAGTCATATTGCCATATCTGGACCAATCAACAAAGAAGCAAGCATCTAGGATATCTAATCGACATACCACACTCCGCAAGACTCACCCACGAACAGAGAAAGCCACGTTCGTGAGCCATTGTTCTTCGTCCGCTCAGGCAAGATTCTGGAAGACTTGCTGCTTGGAGCTGATTGTAGATTTTGAATGGCTCAATTGCAAGGGATTTAATTGATAATGGAATTAGTGGCTGTATTATTTTGTATTAGATGGAATTTATAGAATAAAGTTTCTGTGAGTTGTGATGAGTTGATATTCCGAATGTCTTCCTTTGTTTTTATTTTTTGCTTGGCTTGGGGTGGTTTGTGGCTTTTGCATGTTTTTTTTTTTTTTTAAACGATCTTATTGCCGGTGGCTTTTGATAGCCTTTGTGGCTTGATTCTTGATGGCTTTTGTTTCATTGGCTTGCATAGATTTGGTGGCTTAGCCCTTTTTTTATGGCTTTTTGTGTGGAGGGTTTTGAATGTCGTGACGCAGAGCCAGCAACAAGCCCATTGGAACCGCATGTTCTTTTTGGACAAAATCCAAGTGGAACGCTAGCGTGGCAATAAGACAGTTGCCCTCTGATAGAACATCCATTTACAGTCGAGTCACAACAACCGGTGAAATCGCCGGTCTTTTCACGTCACGCCTTCGCTGATTTCTGACTGCTGATTCTGGTTTGACCTGGTTCATTGCTGGGACGCGCGCGCCAATCGCAGGAAACACGACTGGAGGGGCCGCGACTACCACGTGTTAACGAAGAACTGCCACCACTTCACAGAGGTCTTCTGTGCTCGCTTGGGGGTGGCTCGCTTACCCCCATGGATCAACACATTGGCGGCCACCGGAGCCAAAACCTTGGACTATTTGGATAGTGCCCTGGCGGGAGGAGGGAGCGGTTAGGACCGGTGGTTTGGAACACCACGCATTCTCTTCCAGGACCTTCAAAGTGACCTCTTTGGAGTCTGTAAGTGACGTCTTTAGGGACTAAGTGTTTTTACGGCGAGGTATGATCTGGGGATTCATTGTTCTTGATTCCGGCTCACGGGATTTCTATGGATTATGTCTTATTCGTCGCCGGGGGTCGCTCGAGGTTTGGCTTTGCCCAAAAAGTTCGCTTCATTCGGGCTGCGGACATCACTGGGCGACCAGTGCCTCCCTTGGATCACCCAGTGGCTCCATGCCGCCATCCACCTCCCTTTGAGGCACCGACAGCGGCTACGATGGCGGCGAAGCCATCTTGAGCTTCTTCGACGGGCTGCGCGGCTCCGTCTTTGGCTTCTTCACTGAGGCCCAAAGCGCTGAGGCACCAGCCGCAACAGGCACTGGCCCACCCGAACGGAGATAAAAGAGAGCCGAAGCCGCTCTGCGAGCCTTGCGCCACGCCGGCCTGGGACTTTGTTGTGACCAGTCGACCACATCAGTTGGACTCAGTTTGTCTTTTTGGAGCGGAAAGCAGCAAGCAGCTGGGCAGAAGTATGAGGCCATTGTCCACTTGTATGATTCTTCCAGGGAGGGTACGTAGGAGATGTCACCAGGCTGCCACAACCCACCGGCGGTGCCATGTCCTTCGTTGATGGATTTCTTCGTTTGGCGTTGTTCTACAAACTCTACCGGGTAAAAGCTCTTTTGGGATAGGGCCGGATAAGGCCGGTAGGGAACATGGAATGGCCGGCCTCCGATTTTTTCCTGCAGCCTCGTTTCAGGGTGTTTATGAAATGCTTGGAGGTCCATTGACCACCCCTTAAGGGGGCGCTGGTATGTGACTAAAACTGGAAGTCCTTCAGCGTCTTTTTCTGGCCAGGAGGAGGAAGCTCGGCGCCGCAGGCCGAGTCCATCCGGGCGCCACCACGGGCTTGTGGGTGCAGGTCGTAAGCGGCGAAGATGGAGCTTTCGATTTCATCAAGTACTCTGGAGCTTTCGTCCAGGATTTCACCTCTTGGAGGCTTTACTAAAAACCCAAATTTTTAGATCCACTGAGTTGGTCTAGACAGGACAAGAGTCGGACTCATTACGACTCCGAACTGTCATGGACACCACGGGCCCTCCACGTCGTCGAGGGCCAGCGTCCCGTCGACCTCAGCCCAGTCGACCGGGGACCGAGGCTTCGCGGGACCCACAGGACCCACACGCAGCTGCGCAGTTGGTGTGTTGGCTGACTGGTGCTTAGTAGGGAATAAGGGAATGAGCCCCCAATAGAGATTCTATTGGATCCATTCCCTCATTCCCTGCTAAGCACCAGTCAGTTGGTGTCTATGAAATCACCGAAAGACGGATCAGGTCGCTTAGGTGGTCGAGTCTCCAACCACCATCCGGGTCCGAGACCGGACACAGTGGCAGTCCGGAGTGAGGCGCACTCCGGTCTTCCACAAAGGTTTTCCATGGTTTTCCCGGTCGACCTGCTCTGGTGATACAAAACGCATCAAACAGGCCCTACATTCGAAGGTCAGATTGCTTAATTCCCCCTGCTCCCGTGTTTGACTTCGTTCACCAACAGGGCACGGCGACTCGTCACTTGTCCTCGTCACTGGTCAACAGCCAACGCATCGAACGGTTGCATCCGCCCTGCGGGCTGCTGGTCCGCCATGGCTCAGAGCCTTGGCTCAGGCTCCCGAGAGGTGACGAACCGAGGTCAACCACCGGGGACCTCTTGGACCCTCCGGGGCTTGAAACGGTTTGTTGCGACTTCGCGACAGCGAAGGTCTAAATGACGAGGTGAGTCATGGTAATTCTGGTGTAAATCCGATCTGCATGAGTGAAGTCAAGTCGAGTGAAGTCCTTTTGCCGGACTCGAACGGCAGAAGTCAAACAGGAATCTCCCTTTTCTTGGTGCTGTTGTGGTCCTCTTGGCAGAGGCACAATGCACCAACATCCGAAAATAGCTCTGGCAAACCCCTTGGGTCTCGATGCGCCTCCTACATGCTGCCTCCCCCGTACGTCGAGCTCACGCGCGCGCGCACCCGCGCGCGCTCGCGCCGCCACGGCGTCGGTCAGGGCCGAAAAGCTGGCCTCCGCCCCGGCGGCCTTAGCCGCTGCCAAGGATGGAGCGAGGGATGAGAGAGGAAGTTCATGGCCTGACCTTGAAAACCAGCTGCAATGCGGGCGTGTAGTACCGTTACCGGTTTTGGCATGCTTTCGGGGATTCACCCTCTTCGCCGAAGACCCCTCTGTCCAAATTCGCATTTTTCCCCGAGTCAACACCGCTTCGATCTTCCTGTGCCCTTTCGCCAGGCGGCGAAAGCGGGCGCGGGCGCCGATGTGGTGGGCGGAACCCAGAGCTGCTTTTGGTCGAAAAAGGTGGAAGAGAGAGGAGACATGATGAGACACACACACACAAACCGGATGACTACTTCAATCATATCCTGCAAAACCAATGTGAACCAATGTGTTTTGCCTCATTGTAAACTACCCATGACATCCCGTGACTATATCACAGACTGTAAAAAGTTTTTCTATGGCTCTGACTCCGCTGACTGTTTCTTATTGCATCTGCCGCGCTCCGAGGATGTGTCAGAGCGGCTGAAAGAACTCATCTGCCTAAGGCCTCGATGATGCCGCGCTGCTAGCTGACGGGGTTTGGTTGGTTGGCCTCATAATTTAACAACACGGGCGCTTTTGGCGAATGAGTGAGGAACAATGGTGCCAAAAAGGGAGCGAAGACCGAGGTTTGATGAGGCACCCTTCGGTTTGAACAGAGTGAGACAGATGGATTGGGTCTCTTTATTGTCTTTTCAATCAAATAATCACCGAATGGACTGGGTCTGTGCCGTTGGGTTTGGTTTGCTTTGGTGAAAGGCGGAAGACACATCACAGAATTTGCAGGTTTTTGAAGACATTCGGTCTCAAAGCTCCGTTATTTGATATCGGCCCCTGAAGGATGCCTAGACTCTAGACTGTGGTTAATGAACTCCTGTGCAGTAGGGGGTAACCCAAGCCATATCCACCTCACACTGCGTTTCGCACATTTCTGGGACACACCCTTTCGAGACCTGTAGGACCTGCTAAGGCTGAACCACCCAAAAGAGCAGTGGCCATGAAGTGGCCCAACAGGTGTTAGTTCTTTATCGCCAAAGCAACCAAGTCCTCTCCAAAGCATGGGATGTCGACACCGGATTCGCTGCAGGATTCATCTCAGGCTTCGATGCTCCTGGTTCCCCTCTGTTGCTCTTGGGTCGTGTCCCGTCGGCTGCCGGCCGCGAGGGAGCCTCCGTCTGATGCGTTGGAGCAAGCAGATGGTACCTTTCAGATGACGCTGGATGCCACTGGCCCGAAAGTGACGGGATAGGAAGACAGGAAGACAACGACCTTTTGCGTGCAAGACAGTAGGCGTTCTTTGGGTTGGTGAGAAGCGAGAAAAGCCATCAATCACGCACAAAAGAACCTGTTATTGGATCTCATGCTGCCACTGACTGGTAATGTTTCTCAATGCTTTGGCTCCAGCACTTCTTGCCAAATTGAGATTTTTCACTGTGGAACCAATAGTTTCCTGTGTGTAAAGAACATAAGAACATGCAGTTCGAGGTCCATGCTCGAACTGCATTTGCTCCCGGGACCCTCTCAGGGGCGCCCATGTTTCGCTTCCTTTCAATAGCGTGGAGGGCGCCCCTCCGCGCCGTCAAACGTCCGACCGAGGATGGCGCCACCATCACCTGGACTCGCAGGCGGAACGAACGGTGACGAACGAGCGGCAACCAGTGGCACGAACGCCCACCGCGACGGAGGATGGAACACGAAGGAAGGAAGAGGCGAAGGAGCCGCTTGAGCTTGCAATGAGTCTCAAGGGTAGGAGTAACCTTGGTGAAGGTTGGAACTGTTTGTTTCTTTCTGCTTTTGAGGTCTTGTTGATCATTTGAATGGCATTTGAACCCATTGCCCAATGTCCCTATCATGCAGGCGTGATCCCAGAACTAGACATCTTCGTCCCAGACCAACGCCTCTCTCTCCCCACCGAGCGGCCGTGCTTTTCCGCAAAACTCCGACGGGGGAGGCCAGACGGTACCTGGCGACGGCCAGAGCACCGACGCGCTGGTTGGGTTTGGGAGCCCAGCGCCTTGAAACACATGTCACGAAGTCAACGAACATGACCCATCATCATACATGGATGGGCAAGAAAGAAGGAACATACAGGAACCAAGTGTCAACGGAACGCATCCCAATTTCCCAAAATCAGTTTGGTTGAAAAAGCCGGTCGAAGTGCAGCTGCCATGAATCATCCAAGTGGCGCCCTTTTCACGAGGACCAGGATCCCGCATGTATGTCCCCTTTGGCAGCCAACCGTCACCCTGATTTAGAGGTTTGTATGTGTTCCTGTCAGCCACTCCAGCCACTCCCAAAAAAAACCCTCAGAAGGCCATTTGTTGCGCCAGCCTGGCCGGACCGGCCGGCCCTCATCCTCCAACTTCACCCGGCCCGGCCTTGGTCTCCTGAGGTGGGCGAGCTTGAACAAGCCAAGTACACGCCACCGACGGCAGGGGGGCTTTTGGGCCGTGCCGGTCGAAGGGTGGGATGACGGTCACTCTTAGTCATTACAGGAATCATTACCTATAAGATATCCTAAGATAGATGAATTTAGATTTATTTCAATTATCCTTGAATCCTCTCAACAACTCTTCTCGATGCAACAACGCCCCTCCCAAATTACACCGGCAAGGGACCCCAAATAGTGTAAAGAACATCTTCCAAAACGGCAAGTTCATTGAAATACAAAACCCTTCAAGAACATCTGCACATCGAGATTCACGAGCACAAATGAGAGCACACATATGAGAGCATATGGGAGCACATATGAGAGCACATGAGAGCACACATCGGAGAGCACAAATGTGAGAGCACATACAAGCACAAATCTGAGAGCACATAGGCGAGTACATAAGAGCATTTCGCAGTTGACAATGTACCGCGCCTGCCACGAAATCTGCACATCGAGGTTCACAAAGTACTGCGCCTGCCACGAAATCTGCACATTGAGATTCACAAAGTGCTGTGCCTGCTAAGAAATCTGCGCATCGAGATTCACAAAGTGCTGCACCGGCCACGAAATCTGCACTTCCAGACTCAGCAAGTGCCTGCCACGCAATCTGCCCATCGATATTCACAAAGTGCTGCGCCTGCCACGAACTCTGCACATCGAGATTCA